TTTCCATTGCACAAAAACCTCACCGAGCCAGCATTTCCCCGAAAGCACTGCTTAGTGAAGTATACACCTTTTACAGTGAAGTATACAAAATACGTGTGTCTTTCGGGAAGGGGGGGGTAACTAACTTTTTTTTTTGCTCCCCAATGGGGAATTTTTTATTGCATTTTTATTACAACTGCAAACTATAACAGAAATAAGGGAGGGGACTACATGTAGGGGATAATATACCCACTACTGACTAAAAACCCAAGAGAGGAGATCTTCTAATCAGCTTGAATACACATCTAGTCTTAATCATATTAATCTCATTACAAACTGAGTCACATATTCTGCTAACTTTCCCCACATCTTAAATTTAACTGATATAAGGAAATACCCCAAAGCATCTCAATTCAAAATTTTTCAAAGGCACAATTCAGAGTCCTTCAGCCTTCACTACTTCTTGTCCAGTCTCTTCCGCAACTTATAAGGACTTTTAGGAGCTGCTGCCCCTTTCTCTGACAGAGAGTCCTCTCTGGAAGAACCCGAGTCCAGCTCGCCACTGGACTTGCTGTCCCCTGGGAAGGGGTGGTGGTAACTAACATGATGGGGAAGGCCGTGGCTCCATGGTAGAGCCTCTGCTTTGCATGTAGAAGGTCCCAGGTTCAATCCCCGGCATCTCCAGTTAAATGGATCAGGCAGCAAGGGATGTGAGAGACCTCTACCTGAGACCCTGAAGAGCGGCTGCCAGTCTGAGTAGACAATACTGACCTTGATGGACCAGTGGTCTGGTTCAGTATAAGGCAGATTCATGTATGTTCACATGATCACTGCGCCTTAACACCCAGATGTGTGGCACAATGACACCACTGGGAAGTGGATTATTAACTCCTCACTTTCTTCATATTGAAGACGAGTTGGATTTATACTCCACCTTTCACTCGGAGTCTCACAGTGGCTTACAATACAACAGACCCCCTGTGAGGGAGGTGGGGCTGAAAGAGAACTTGTGACTGACTCAAGGTCACCCAGTTGACGGCACATGGGAGTGGGGAATCAAACCCGGTTCTCCCAGATTTGAAGCTCGCCGCCCGAAACCGTTACACCAAATCTACTGAGGGTGATCTCTGCTCTCCTCTAAAAAGAGGACACACAAAGGTGTTTGCTGAGTGTCAGGAACAGAGGAGGCAGACCTCTGCAAAGAGCCAAGGCCAAGAGGGGGGGAGTGGCTGGCAGGCCTTCAAGGCAGAAGGGAGAGATGTGTTGCAGAACTGATGGGGAACCAGAGTTGAGTCTAGGGGAAACTCAACGGGGAAAAGCCACCATCAGAACAAAGGGAACAAGACAGGAGCTTAGGCAGATCATGAGAGGGAGGGCAGGAAGTTCTCGTGGGCCTTTCTTACACGCCCGTAGAAGTGCTGATTGCCACGTTGGGGTCAGGAAGCAATTTTTCTCTTGGCCAGTTTGGCTGGGGATCCTGGAGGGTTTTTTTTGTCATCTTCTGAGCATGGAATAGGGGTGGAGGCGTTTGTGAAATCCCTGTATTGTGCAGGGGGTTGGACTAGATGACCCTGGAGGTCCCTTCCAACTTTATGATTCTAGGCGCCACACACTTCTGGTCAGGGGGGTGAGATTCAGTACCCCCGCCTTCCTTGTGCCTTTGAACACAGCTTAAAAAACATCTTAACTAAAAATCATTATTATCATCACCCAGCTCTGCTTTCAGGATTAGCACCCCGGAAGCAGTCTGAATAAGAGCACCTCTCTCCAAAGGGCCAAGGGCTTTCCCTTGAGGTACCGGAAAGAAAGCTGAACTGAAGTTTTAAGACCACCCTTTCTCTGATCAGCTTTACCTTACAAACAACCCTGCGAGGCAGGTTCGGCTAAAGACGGCAGCTGGCCCAAGATCACACGGCGAGATCAGGGCTGAGCAAGGATTTGAACCGACTCCTAATCTACAACATTAACCGTGTTACGCTGGCTCTGGCGTTGAAACCCAATGGAAAGAGAACAGCTAGCGAATACTTCCAACTATATCACTGTCACCCAAGTGATGTTGGCGAAAGGAGAATCTGAATAGGCCTGCCTTTCTGTAGGGGCTCCACTTCGTCGTTTTTGTCCCTTGCCAAGTCCTGCAAAGCACCCGACTTACTGACATTTGACCAACCCGCTTGTTTCCAGAGTCACAGAGTTAAGAAGCCAAACTCCCTCCTTCCCATCTTCCAGACTCTGTGCAAAGAATGGACTCGGCACTGTCAACTCCTGTATTTTCAACTGCGCTGGGTTCCCCCTCAAGTATTTGCTGTCCCCATTTTACGAGAAAAGTTCTCTCCCTCCCCAGTCACACAAGGTGGTGAAGTCACCATTTGGCCACTGAGCAGAAGGCAAGAAGAGCACAGAACAGCATTGCCGAGCAGAAGAAAAGGAGAAAGGGAAATGGATAGATGTAAGATGACCAAATGGCTCACACAACTCGGTGGCCTGGAGTGCAAAACTGAACGGCTGAAGCAGAGTGGCAGGGGAAGAAAGGAGATTGTTCATGCTGAGCAGAGGACTGAAAAGGTAAAACGGCAAATGCTCATCAGACGGGTCCAAAGAACAGCTTTGTAGGGAGACAGAGAGAAGGGTGCGCCTGTGCCACTTCATCTGAGTATGGTTGGAAGATCACATTTCCTACCTGGTACAGGCAGCGTTTAGCTGTTAGCTTTGGCTGGCATGCCAGTTACGGCCATTATAGATTTGGCTCACACCCTGAGCACATCCAGACCATACAGTAATATAACACACTCTACAAGGGGCTGCCTTTGAAGGCAGCAGAGCTCCAGCAGTAAAGAGCCCAGGGGGCGGGCACATGCAACAAGCCCCACCCCCTGCTCCCAGCAGCCCTCAGTCACAGCAAGAAGCAGCCAGGTAAGTTGCA